TTGCAATATAAGTAGTACCCCATTGAATTAGGTGGAGACATGTTATTAGTCTGAAGTGGCTGATGTATTTAGCTATTGTGGCTTTTTATCAGGTGTTTTATCATCCGAAAATTCCAATATTTTCGAGGAACGAAACATTTCAGTTTTAATTTATTCAATACACTGTCTCTGACAATGTTATAGTGATAAAAGGGGTGTAACAAAATGTTAAATTGAATTGGGAAATCGGTTTTGATTTTAAAAAATGTGAGATAATTGAATAGAACCAAATCGTTTCGCTTTAAATCAAGGTATGTATCAACTCGTCTTTTATTGGAGGGATTGATCTTTCAAGGAAATGCCACATTTACAATAACTAACAGAAAAGTCTGTAAACTCTTTGCATCATACCCGCTGAATCGAACTGGATCAAATTGTTCCACTTTAAAATAAATCCTCTTTGAAATGCGAGACTGGTGTGAACATTGTACTGTGTCAACAATTTCTTATTCCATCGTTTCGTGAACACATTTGAAATAACCTAGTGGTTTAGCATGGTTGACGATTAGCATCTCTTGTCCTGTAATATATTACTCAGCATCTTTTTGTGTCAACGATACTTGTCTGAAGTGTCTCATTTGCTGCTATGGAGATGATGATTAATGACTTTGAAAGAAGTGGTGGCTATTTAGCCACCATGATCGCCAGCCAGCCACAGCGACGGCGTTACAAAGCTACTTTTCTAAACGGGGAATATGCAGTAAGGCCAACAAACATTATCGCGATTGGGTGACTCATAGTCTCCAAATCTTACGTCACCCAATCACATGTGGTACTTACAGATTCACTTGCAAACTCCAAGTTAATCAACCACGCATGTCATCTCATCATTAGGTGGAACATTTTCAACTTCCCAATAACTGCCTAACAGATGGGAAATGCCCAGAACAAAATACGTCCAAACCGGAACACTTGGCATCTCTGGCTGTGGCACGACCTCAAGAGAGTGATTTGCACCAGCCATCCGAATAATATTGCTGAACTGAAACCGTTTTGTAAAGAAGAATGATCCAATTTTCCTCCCGACCATTGGGCAGGTCCGATGTGCAACTACAGGGAACATTTGGTTGAGGTTATTGCTCCTAAAGGAGGGTGAACCTGTTATTAAGTCCAAAGGTTCACATACTTTTTCCATCCAGTACTGTGAGTTTTACATGTTGTGTTCAGTAAAAAAAAAAAAAAAAAATGATGTCGATCATGAATCATTCTGTTTTTGGAACTGATTCTTTGAAGTGAAGGATGATAGCCAGCTCCTGATTGGGAGCCGATTTTTTTTCTTTTCTTTTCGTGGGTAAAGCTGCAAGTGAAAGGGAAGATATGCGGCAGCATCTGTGTGTCCACACTTTGCAGATGAAAGAGGTAACAAACACACACAGAAGTTGGAGTGAGGACCTGACAAGAGTGCATTGCTACAGTATGCAGTGAAAGACTACGCATAGCCAAGGTGACAAATTTATTGTCCAAAAAGAAGTGAAAGGAGATATTTGGAGATATTTAAAATGTATTCGTTTATGGACGGAGTGCATACTTTGCAAAATCAAACTTTCACATCTGGCTGGTTCCACATACAAGCTGTATTTCGCATGAGCGTGATGCCCCTTGTACACATCCCCAGCCTTATGGGAAGAGACTTGTCTCAAAATTCTTCACGGAAATATATCTACCAGATCCACAAATATTAATTTTCATATTTTTCAGATCCAGAAATATGTGTGCATTTATCATGACTTATCGCGTGTTAACATTCAATTCTCCTTGTGAATTGATGTGTTTATGGATTAGTGGGCATGTGCATTTATTTTTGAGAAAAAAACAAACCCAAAACATCATGCAGTTTTCAAGATATTCACACACAACTTCAAAACATTCATTAAAGGCCATCCCTCCTCCATCCGCTAGAGGGCAGTCAGTGTTGTTGTCTCCATTGAATGGCAAACGAGTCAGGTCCCGTTTTTCGTTTAAAACCTGGAAATTGAGAAAAGGAAAACAAGCCTTGATCTGATTTTATTTTAGTTAATTAACACAGGTCGGGAAAGAAAATACCACTGTAATTTTATCTTCTTCAAGTTTACTTTGCCAAGATCCGGCTTGCAGAAGAATGTCTTTTGGGAAGTAGTTGGAGGGCTCAGTGGGTAAGACCACTGACTTTGACACAGGGGGCTGGGGTTCGACTCAGTCAGATCACAACCAAGGGGGGCTTTGAGTACAGTACCCGTTAAGAAGTTGAACGACAATCAGCCACCTCCTCTACATGGATGACATCAAGCTGTATCCCAAGAACAACCATGACATCGACTTTCTGATTCATCTCACAAGGATCTACAGCATCGGAATGTCATTTGGACAAGGTAAGTGTAGATGAATGATATCTAGATGAGGTGAGATGATCATAACCGAAGGGATTGAATAACCCGACGGCAGCATATGTGCAGGACAGCTACAAATACAAGTCACAAGCAAATAGCATCCATGAAGAGGCGGCTCAAAGGGCAGAGGTAGATACTGAATAGTCATCTGAACGGCAAGAATAAGATCCTGGACATTACCAATACACAGAGGGTTCCATACGAAGTCCAGCATCCTGAGGCTGTACACGAAGCCGAACGAGTGGGAACATGTGCTAGTAAGCAGCACGAGCACCATCTAGGAGGAAACAACAGGCCTCCAAGAATACATTAAGATGATGGCCCTCAGGGACAACCTGCTTAGTGAATGCCTCAGGCAACAGAAGCCCAGTAAGGATAAAGAGCAATGGAAAGACAAGACCTTGCATGGTACTGTATGTACCACCGACAAATTGAAGAAGTGGCTGACATCGAGAAAACATACCAGTGGCTGGAAGAGGCTGGACTGAACGACAGCACAGAGGCACAACTCATGGCAATTTAACAGGCGCTAAACACAAGATCAATAGAGATTAGTCAGGATCCCAGCTGCAGGCTGTGCAAAAAAGCCCCAGAGACAGTGCAGCATTTCAAAGCAGAGTGTAGTTCCAATACCATGGACACTGGAACAGATGCAATCCACTGTTGTCAAGACAAGAAAGATCCATACAATACACAGAGGGTTCCACACCAAGTCCAGCATCCTGAGGCTGTACACAAAGTGGAAAGAAGGGGGTCATGGACTAGTGAGAATCATGGGTACAAACCAGGAGGAAATAACAGGCTTCCAAGAATACATCCAGAAGATGGCTCCCAGGGGCTACCTGCTTCGTGAATGCCTCAGGCAACAGAAACCCAGTATGGAGAAGGAGCCAGATGGATTGTCATGGAAAAAAACCTGCATGGCATCTACCACCAATAAATTGAAAATGTGGCAGACATCGAGAAAACATACCTGTGGCTGGAAAAGGCTGGACAGGACCATTAACACAAGATCAACAGACGCTGGGGTCTACCACATCTGAGAGGACCTTAGGTGCAAGCTATGCAACAAAGCCCCAGTGATGGTACACCATATCACAGCAGGGTGTAAGATGCTGGCGGGCAAGGCAAACATGGAGCGGCATAACCAAGCAGCAGGAACAGCACATATGGACTATGGGTCCCAGGATGAAGATGGCAGACACCTCCAAAGACTGACAAATTGGTGATAGCCGACCAGCTTGATCAAGTGGTGGTGGATGAACATCAGAAGAAAGCAGTGGTGGTAGATGTCGCAATCCCAAGAGATACCAACATCTCTCTCTCTCTCTCTCTCGCGCTCACTCTCTCTGTTGACATGGCATCCGCCGTCATGGTTTGGTCCTGTCTTTGTTTTTGTTCCAGCTCCAGCTGGAGTGGAGGGCACACCTATTCCTTGTTTCAATCACCATGGTATTTAAGGACTCCGTCTTCGGCCATGCTTTGTCAGATTATTGACCTTGCTCACTTTATTGCATCGTGTTATTTTTTAAGTATTTTCATTACTAAGTTATTCTCTCTTGACTTTGGTTTCGCGTCTTTGGACTCTTGCCTTTTCATTTTGTGTATTCTCTGTGCTCATTATTTCCTCGCCTTCTGCAAGCGTCTTTTGTTCATGCCTTGTTTTCCTGGCTTTTTTTTCACAGTGATTTCTGTGATACATCGTAGTTGGTGGCCATTTTATCGGAAATGGTGACAACGAGCTACCATTATAGCGTACAGATTTGTTTTATCCCTCGACATACGTTGTACTGAAGTTCGACTGTATGACTGTGTGTGTGTGTGTGTGTGTGTGTGTGTGTGTGTGTGTGTGTGTACACACACACACAAACACACACACACACACACACACACACAATGAATAGGAAACAGGCCGGGCTATGAATAGCGGAAATCCATGTTTAATTGACGCCCACTGCAATGCAGCGATAGCATGGGTGCTGAACCGCAAGTATGAAGGGGCCGAATGTATCCACGTGCATTTGTTTGACATAGTTCAAGAGTATACTGAATTTTGATGAAGAGACTCTGTGATCACTTTTTTGAGTCATGGTGCAAAGGAATGTATCCTGTAAACACTGGGGAATGTCTTGAATCTGTATGACACAGTGTGTTACTTTAAAATCACATCTTAGGACACATAAAGTTTGATCTGTATGGTTCTGTTTTTCAACTCAATTGTCTTTGCTGAATGTCATTGATTTTTCTGTCTTATTTGTCATATGAAATACATTTCACAGAGCTCAGAGATCTCCAGTAACAGTCTCCAAGCTCATGTTTAATTGACTAATAAAGTGGAAGTCTGTATTCTTATTTGATTTTCAATGAATGGGTTTGGGAAAAACTGGTCAAAATGGAAAAAAAATATATATATTTTGAATATTAATGAAGAAAATAAACTTCAAGAAATTGGTAGCTTCAAGTACCAATTCAGAAAATAATTTCCTGGAGACTAAAACTGATTTTATTCCAGGGTAACTACTTCAAGCCTATTCATTAGCTATGTCGACAACAGAGGCTGTTTACATATCATGTAATGGTATTCATAATTCTTACCTGTAAATGAGAACTTCATCCTCAGAGCAATTGTACTGAAGCTGATACATTTTGACCTTCGGTGTTGATTTGCCTACAGTCCACTTAATCAGGGCTGAAGCTGAGGCCACTTCTGAGACAGATACCACATTCTCAGGAATAGTTTTAGGCTCCCCTTTACTCATCTTGGTTGAGCTCGTTATGTCTGAAAGACCAGACTTGGACTGGGTGGTACGGTTTGTACCATTTGTGAGGTGAGGGAGCTGTATGATTGAGAGCTCTATGGAGGCTGTAGATTCCCCAGCAGCATTCGCAGCTATGCATGTAAATGTACCATAATCCTTGGATGTTGTGACTGTGATATCAAGGGTGCCATTTTCATACAAAGTTGCTCGAGAAGAATTGCTGATCAGTCGGTCATCAGGGGCAACCCAGTGCACAGTTGGCATTGGATCTCCAACTGCCTTGCAGCGGAGACTAGCAGTTTGGCCCTCTAGCACGAGCAATTTGTTTGTATGCTGTGTGATGAGGGGAGGCTCACAAACAAATTCCTCCTCTTGGACAGACCAAAAGTAGCGTCCTTTCACACTTGTAGGAGAAGCACAGGTTTCCATGTCATCCTCTCGTTCGAGCCTCCTAAGCCAAAGCACCTCACAGTTGCAGTGCAATGGGTTTCCACCAAAGCTTAGGGACAATGGTGGTATGTATGGAGTACTCATGCCAATGCTAGTTTGTGAGCGTGCAAAGATAGGGTCCGGTGGGAGCTTCTGCAAACGGTTGGAAGTAAGGTCCAAACGAGCCAATTTTTCCAGGTCTGTAAAAGTCCCCTCAGCAATGAATGAGATAAGATTATGGTCCAGACTCATCTGATGGAGGTTGACCATCTTTCGGATGGCTTCCCAAGGCACACTGCGTAGGTTGTTATACGACAAGTCCAGATCTTCAAGTGTCAGCAACAGGTCGTCAAAGGCGGCTTTGGAGATGCGACTCAGCTGATTGTTGTTGAGGATCAGATGCTGCAGGTTGATCAGACCTTTGAGGTCATCTGGACCCAGCTCAGTCAATCTGTTGGTGTCAAGGTGAAGAGATCTCAGGGTCTCCAGGTCGATGAAGGAAAAAGGCTGGATAGTGCTGATCGTGTTACGGGACAAGGTGAGGTCTACCAGACCTGTCATGTTGGCAAAGTCCTGAGTGGTTATCTTGAGGATAAAGTTGCCGCCCAGTCGTAGTTCCACAGTGTGCCGATCAATGTCCGGCGGGACAAAGAGGAGGCCTTTGGAGGGACAAAGCGTCCCCAGAGATTCTGAGAGGTTCTGGCACGCACAGTATTTGGGACATGCATGGACCGTTGTAAACGTGATTCCCAGCAGCAGGAGACTGATGACCACTTTGTCCATGTTAGTTCATAGAAAGTAGACCTGCAGAAATGACAATGAAAAATGTATTAATTGGGATAATCATGGGACATATACTATTCGCATGGATATTTGGAATTGTACTTGCAGTAGGTTCGTGAACAACAACAAATCCCTAAAAACTCGAGACAAACAGCTGCTTGTGTAGAGAAACTAATTCACAAATTAACAAGTCTAGCCTCTGTAGACAAGCGCAGTTGTTTTAATGAGCTAATCACATTATCGTTTTTTCCCCTCTCTTTGACAAGCTTGGCTCATGCAGATTTGCACTGAAATTTGCAATGTCAGAGAGAAGTGATAAATCACATGAGGATAATTTAAATAAACCTGAGGTTCGATGATGAATGAGTCGTCGATACAGTATTTTGAAAGCAATAATGAATATGCATAACATGTAATCAACTGTTATATTTTTCACTAGCACTGCACAATTAAGTAGTCTTATAAAGACTTAAATATTATCAAGAAATCAACATGTGAAATTTACATATTACCATAACAATAGCAATGATGCCATACACAAGGTTCCTTGGCAAGTATGGAAAGTGTGGAAAACTATGGAATTTGATTTAATACATTTCTAAGTCTGGAAAAGTATGGAAGATGGAAAGTATTGTATGGAAAAATACTAATTGATGTGAAAGCACTATATAAATACAGATGTGTTGTATAAAATACTGTTACAACAGGGCTATTTTCCAAAACAAAAAATTAGGAATATCTACAAACAATACAGATTGTTCTTTTTTTTAAGGTGCTTGGAAGTGCAGCAAGGCGGTCGACTTGTTAGCATGTCCGCCTCACAGTGCAGAGGTGCAGGGTTCGATTCTGACTCCGGCCTTCCTGTGTGGAGTTTGCATGCTCTCCCCGTGCCTGCGTGGGTTTTCTCCGGGTACTCCGGTTTCCTCCCACATTCCAAAAACATGCATGGCAGTTTAATGGAACACTTCTACAGTGTCCCTAGGTGTGAGTGTGAGCGTGGATGGTTGTTCATCTCTGTGTGCCCTGCGATTGGCTGGCAACCAGTTCAGGATGTACCCTGCCTACTGCCTGAAGACAGCTGGGATAGGCTCCAACATGCCCCGCGAGCCTTGTGAGAATAAACGGATTAGTTGACAGATTCCAAGTTGAAAGGATCAAAGGAGAGAAGGGGGATGTATCAGATGAAAGGGCAGATGGGAAATATGACTTGAACGTTGGCGAAAGGCAGTCAGTTAATGTGTTGAGTGACTGGTCATGAGTTGTGGCCGATTGCTTCTCTTGAATGAATGTTCATTCTGTTATCGCTCATGGGAATCAACCAATATGAGGCGCATCAGGGACTGGGCCACATACGAGGGCGTCACAATAGTAACCTGACCGTGAGTATTGATTAGTAAACATGAAGTGCTCTCAGTACGGAAATTAATGAATTGCAAACAATAATGAGTGATTTGATCATTTATTTTATTTGGTGATTACAACACCTGGGATGCCGCTGAGGAAGTGAGGGAATAATAAAGAGACAGAAGTGGGACCAAGCGATAACTCGAATAAGATTGACATAACTCGCAGCTGAAAAGGACAGAATCATCCATCTATCCATTTTCTGATCTGCTTATCCTCACAAGGGTCATGGGGGGTGCTCGAGCCCATCCCAGCTATCTTCTGGCAGTAGGCGGGGTACACCCTGAACTGGTTGCCAACCAATCGCAGGGCAGACATAGACGAACAACCATCCGCGCTCACACACCTAGGGACAATTTAGAATGATCCGTTAACCTTAAATTATTTTTAAAAACAAAATGAATAAAATTCAAGCACGTCTCCACTTTGGCATGATTGAGCTAGTCATTCGAAACTCATTCAGTAGCAACAACTACCATGAAATAATAATCCATTATCTTATTGCTTTTGTTCAAAGGTGACATTTATGATATGTACACAACAGCTAAATAAATGTGAAGCATTACAAATGCTTAAAAAAATTGGAGTATGTAGTTAGTAGAGTAAGTCCGAGTGAGACAAAGACATGACCTTTCCTGAATGGGGGTTCTCCACACAAGGTAATAAGACCCATGCAGGGTGTTTAAGGTCTGCAGCCATTTACTAGTGGCCTTTTCCGAGGCTCAAACACTATCTACGATGGTCAAGGCAAAGGTCAAGTCTGCTGCTGAAATACCAACAGGCACATCCAGCCTTACAGTGCATTAGACGAAAGGACATACTGTAAAGATGCCCCGTGATTGTTCCACTGACTTAAATTTCAATCTTGTAATCTCAATAAGTGAGGTTTTCTCACTCGAGAGGTAATGTAAAGGTTCGAAAATATGCTGTGATGTACGAATCAACTTTGGAGTGTGACTTTTTTTTTCTGTAATTTTAGCTGTGTGACAGTATCTTGGCCCTGTCAACGCCAAGGAGGTGCTCTACATGCCATTTACAGATACATTTACAGACACGTGCGAATATCGCTAATTTCATTAAACGTAAGCGCAGAACAGTACACTCCTGCATGAATCTTTTGATGTGGCATGCAAAACAAGATAAATAAGGTGAACACTATTCATAATATCCAACCATTCATCCATTTTTTGATCCACTTATCCTCACAAGGGTCGCGGGGTGTGCTGGAGCCGATCCCAGCTGTCTTCAGGCAGTAAGCGGGATATACCATGAACTGGTTGCCAGTCAATTGCGGGGCACACACAGACGAACAACCGTCCACGCTCACACTCACACCTAGGGACAATTTAGAGTGTTCCATTAAGCTGCCAAGCAATGTTTTTTGGAATGTGGGAGGATACCGGAGTACCCGGAGAAAACCCACGCAGGCACGGGGAGAACATGCAAACTCCACACAGGAAGGCCGGAATCAAAGCCTGCATCGCTGCACTGGGAGACTGACGCGTTAGCCGGTCAACCGTCGGGCCACACCATTCATAATATTTACCGTATAATTTATTGTCATGAATACTTAAAATGGACCTCAATCATTTAATTGGAATCATCACAGGGGAAATATCTGTCCGGGGATATGCCTTATTTGCAAATGAAAAATGTACAAACCCACAGCGATTGTTTGCACATTAGAGACCTGATTCACCAAGATCCCAAATAGCGGCAGCTATATCACGTGTTCTCTCTCACAGATTGCATGCGCTGTTGGTGGGTGTGAGATTGCAATCTCTTCGTAAATTCCAAAATAGCAGGCACTAAATTGCATGTTCACTCACTCTAACAGATTGCATAAACTGTTGGGAGCATGTAAAAGTGATGGAACCCCACAATATTGAAAAGAGGGTTTTGCGCTTGAACCATCTCTGGAGGTTTTCACCATCAAAAACATGTGAGCGATTCAGTTTGAAGTGATTGAATTGGGAGTGTTGGCGGAAAAGGCAAAAGAAATTGACCTCTCTTTGGGGAAGCAAGCAACCACAAAAAAAGCCACATTTTGTGTGATTTCACTCATCCCAAGTGAGTGGGAATTCAATGCATCTGTCCATCCTCTGTAATATTGCATTCCAAAATTTTAAGTTTTGTTTCTGGCATTTCAAAAAAATGTCCACTGAAGTGGAAAAGTTCTCCCCACTGCCTCTCATGTTGCCTGCATTATGCTGGCAGCGCTGAGCGCGTCGTTTTTCACCCACCTTTCTGATGCGTTATTCAGCCATCAGAATTCATTCCAGGTTTGATCAATCACATTGCGTGGACTGAATTCATCAATTTGTATATGCTCCTGCCAAAATGCATAAAATGAACTGTCACGCAATATTGCCCATTTGGCAGACACAATCCTGGCCCCGTCCCATTTGTAGATCAGCTTTCATGCCTGTTTTTGCACGGACAAACCTTGAGTAAATGAAGCCCTAAATTTAATGTCCGTTTCCTTCCACAAAATGAATAGAGTTAATTACATGTCGAAGTTACACTGCCACTTAGATAAGTGCAAACTGCCCAAGTGTACTGACAGAACATGGTGCAGACTAATAGTCTCATTAAATGCAGGTGTTTTTGTGCATCTCAAGACACTCCTCACTGTGACGCTTGCGTGGTATCAAAGAGTGGTCACATTCTAAGCATTCGACCAGAAGGAAATGTAATTTTTGTCTATGCAGATCTTGTATTCCCAAGATTTTAAGATTATGATTGTTTTGACCACAGATGGAGAAGAGACAAACACAATGTTATCGTGTTTAAAAGTTTCATTTTGTTACATGCTTGATTGACCTCGAACGTGCGTGTTTATGCAGCTGGTACACAATGGAGCCAAGGCGCTTGTTAACTGATAAGCTAGGAAGAAAGATTCGACTTCGGGCGGATAGGGAGGACAGAATACGCTCTAGCATAATAAGATGCCCTCTGAAGCTGCGGTGGCGAGGAAGTCTCCTTTGACCGCTACAAGAAGCGGGATGGTAGGGTCAATGCTGCTTCACTGATGGAGGTAGCTGGCAAGCTACCACTCGAGACTGGCGGGACGCTAGTTTTTACCTGGCTTTGATTATGTAAACAGGTCTATCTTTTTAGTCATTTTAACGTTAACCTTACTTATCTTGCTTGATTTTGTCCTTCCTTTTTTGCGCACACCACGTCATGTCATCGAGACTCATCGTGACTGACAGGTGATTGGAAAAATGATCATTTCCTCCTCCTTTACCAGCCACTCAGTGTGACTGGTCCGCCCCGAGCTATTCTATTTCCAAAATCACGAATCTGTGACAATTCTGGACAGCTTTTTTTTTTTCGCCTTCCTCCATGGGCCCCTAAAGCCATCTGAGCCATGGTGCAATGTGCACCGGTTGCATGGTCGATATTTACGCCACTGCGCCCAACCTCTGTTATTTTTAATATATACAAGTTGCAGCTGCGCGGCACGGTGGTCGACTGGTTAGCACGTTGGCCTCACAGTGCAGCGGTGCAGGGTTTGATTCCGTGTCTGGCCTTCCTGTGTGGAATTTGCATGTTATCCTCGTGACTGTGTGGGTTTTCTCCGGGTACTCCGGTTTCCTCCCACATTCCAAAAA